TGGAAAGGGCATCGCTCCAAGCCTCCAGGCTGGGCCACCGCTGTCCTGTGACCTCCTGCATGCAGCTCTGTGCCTGTGCATGTGACTGGCCCGCTCCACAGGGCTTGTGTGTGTGTCTCTCTCTCTTCGCTGGCTGGCCAGGGATTGGCCTCTGCTCACTAACTTCAGGCGAGGGCGGCAGAGCCCCTACGCCATGCATGTGCGTGGCTCCGCCACCCCCCCGGGACAGGGCACAGGGGCGGTCTCCCCCTGAGTGCCCCGTGCTGGCGTTTGCAGGTGGCCAGCGTGCGGAAAACCACAGTCCTGGACGTGATGAGAAGATTGTTGCAGCCTAAGAACGTCATGGTCTCTACGGGGCGGGACAGACAGACCAACCACTGCTACATCGCCATCCTGAACATCATCCAGGGTGAGGTGGACCCGACGCAGGTGAGCGAGCTGTAACCCTGGCCCACGCCAGTGCTGGCTGAGTTGTGCAGTCCTGGGCATCATGCAGGCAGATGCCGCTAGGGCTGGGCGTGGGAGCGGGCCAGGCGTTGCAGTGGGGAGCGGGCTCGGACGCCCACCTCAGCCAGGCTTGCAGGGTCCATGCAGGAAACAGTTGCTGGCAGAGCCGGCCAAAGGGCTAACGTTGCAGGTGCGGCAGGGGCCTAGCTGCCTGGATGCTGCCCTGGGAAAGGCTGCCTGTCGTCACGTCCTCTGCCAGCAGAGGTGCCTGCCCCACGAGCAGCACTGGGACCGTGCCCCTTGGTCTGCACAGAGCGTCTGGCCGAGCAACTAGGCCAGCGCTGGGGAGTTCACGGTGCTCTGTACCCGTTTACGCTGTTTGCTGAGGGACCAGCCCCCTGGCCCCTCATGCTGTGAATCTCGCCAGGGCAGGTGGCTGGAGCACCACTGCCAGCTCTTGCCTGTGTCTCCCTAGGTTCACAAGAGCCTGCAGAGAATCCGGGAGAGGAAACTGGCCAACTTCATCCCCTGGGGCCCTGCCAGCATCCAGGTGGCGCTGTCCAGGAAGTCCCCGTACCTGCCGTCTGCTCACCGTGTCAGCGGCCTGATGATGGCAAACCACACCAACATCTCCTCGGTGAGTAGGGGCAAGGCCCCTCGCTCCCCCACCCCCCTGCCCTGGGGAGCCGAGTGCCCTTAGCAGGGAGGCTGCTTGGAGAGGCAGGGGCTTTCACCTTCACTTGCTCTCATGTATCTTTTGACTCGGCTCTTGCTGCCTCCTGCCCCAGCCCTGCCAGAGAAGGCCGCGGGTGGCACTGCAGAGCGTGGCGGCCCAGCCAGGCTAGAGAAGGCAGTGACTGGAATTGGGGGATGGGGCCAGTTGGTCGCCCTGCAGCGTTTCCTTCAGTAGAAAGTCATTCCGGGTGCAGTTCCATGCCCCTCCCCCAGCCTCCGACCCCATAAACTCGCCTGCTGAATCCATTGGCAGGAACAGACACTGTCCGCTGGGTTTGTCCATTAACCCAGTAGAGGGTTCCCTTTGTCCTGCCCTGCGGGGCCATGCTGCCATTGGAGGAACAGCCTCCTCGTGAGAGTAAAGCCCAGGGCCAGGAGGCAGGACTCCAGGGTTCTACTTCCCACCTCTGTCACTGCCTCCAGGACCTTGGCAAAGTCACCTAGCCCCTTGGCAAGCCCTCTGCTGAAAGCAGCTTGGGGAGCGCAGGGTGTTCCCCAGATCACAGCCTGGCTGTGGTAGAGCCCCACACGCAGAGGTTTTCTGAGAGCCCTTCACGTGGGCTTGCTCTGTATCACCCCAGGTGGTGAGCCAGGGTAGCCACAGGGCCTCCCCCTCTCCCCAGGGTAGCCATGGGGATGCCCCAGCTCCCAGGGACCATCCAGCACTTTCCCCTGGCGTGTGGGGTGAGGGCCGGGCTGTGCCCCCACATTCACGGGGATTTGGGGCCGGCACAGCTGTTCGAGCGGACATGCCGGCAGTATGACAAGCTCCGCAAGAGGGAGGCCTTCCTGGAGCAGTTCCGCAAGGAGGATATCTTCAAGGACAACTTTGACGAGCTGGACAACTCCCGGGAGATCGTGCAGCAGCTGATTGACGAGTACCACGCGGCCACACGCCCCGACTACATCTCCTGGGGCACGCAGGAGCAGTGAGCGCCCACAGGCTCCGCTGGGGAGCGTGCAGAGAGCACGGCCCCTTTCCATGTAACTGCAGGGGCCACAAGCCACCCATCTACATGTTAGTCCTCATGGCTTCTGCTCACCCCCTGGGGAGGGACAGAGTGGGACACACCGGCACAGCAGCACTGCACCTTTGGGAGTCACCTCATTGTGGGGCAGAGCCCGTAGGCCCCTCCTCCCAGCAGGATCCCAGCCCTGGTGGCTCCCGTAGTACAGGGGCCTTTCCTCGGTCAGGGGCAGTGGCTCACCGCCAGTGGGGGTGTTGTGTGGGAGCAGGGATCCTTGCCCTAAGTGATCCCCTTCTCGGGGAGGGCGAAAGCCACATGCCCCAGCCTGGACTGGGCCGGGGCGAAGACCTCAGCCAAGGAGGGAGCGTGGAGGACCTGGCTGAGCTAAGCTGGGCCCCTCAGTCCTTAGCCTGGTTCTTTCTGGGCCTGGGCAGCGGGCGCAGAGAGCAGCGGGCGCTGCTGAGGGCTGTAGCTATTTGCGTAGCTTATTTTGTTTCAATAAAGGCTGTCGCTGCACTGAGCTCTCCCTGTGCTGCCGGGGCATGACAGAGCCGGGAACGAGGGCACGGAGCGGGTGACAACAGCCCCACCCCCAGCCAATACTGCCCAGGCACACAATGCTCGGGGGGCCCTGCAGAGCCAGCTGCCCCCGAGCTGCCTAGGGGAGGCCAGCCCGGGGCTTTTCCCCCAGCAGCAACCAGAGGCCCCAAAGCACCCTGGGAGTGGGGAGCCCAGCCCTGCTTCACTCCTGGGAGCTCCCTGAGCTGCAGTGTGGGCAGGGCCCAGCACCCCATGTAACCCAGTCCCAAGGGTGGTAGAGCCAGAGCTGGCTATGGTGAGGGTGGGCTGGGGCTGCGGCAGCTCCAGGGGAGCAGGTCTGGGGCTCCCTGCAGGCAGCGCACAAGGCTGTTCTCAGGGGCCTGGGGCTGCCAGAGTCCAAAGCCAGAAGGAACCAAGAGTGAATGGCCCTTGGGGCGGGTCCAGGGGTTAGTTACTCTCCTGTAAAAACGCCCCCCTGCATTCCAGCCATGGGCCCGTGTCAGCCCTTGCTCTGCTCCACTGAGTCTGGTCTCAGAGATCCGTTGCCCAGGGAGGTACTTAGAGACTGAGCGGCTTCCCCCCGCACCCACGCTGAATAGACTGAGCGCCTGGGGTCTGTCCCTAGGGCAGGGTTTCTAATCGTTTATCATCTCTGTCCTGGCTCCAATTTATCACCAACCAGCTGGAATTGTGGCCCCAGACCTGGGTGGGACGGTCCCACCTCTGCAGCCTGCAGAGGGTTAATGTGCTTGGGTTGGCAGCAGCCGAGTGCCTGGCCCCAGAAAGCCAAGGGTGGGTGAAGGCCCCTGCCCCACTGCTAAACCACGCGTCCCACCTGCACCTTCCCCGGGGTGGAGCAGCCCAGCCGCAAGGCGAGGGGGGCAGGCTTGGGGGCAGGAGGAGCCAGGAAGGGACACTGGGGGCTGTGGACATGGGACCTGCCCAGCTGACGGGGCTAGCCCAGCAGAGCCCCACATGCCATGGCTCAGCCCCAGCCCGCGTTCCCCTCCCCCAGAGCAGTGCACTCCCCTGTTGGGGGGTGATTCTGCCACCCCTCCTCCCCAGGGCCCCTGCCAGGCCTGGCTCCACCCTCCTAGCCCATGGCCTTGACTCCTAGCTCAGCCTGGAGTAGGGCTTTGCCTGGGGCCCGTTGGACACTAGCCCCCTCCCTGCCAGGCTGAGGAAGAGAGTCCCAGGGCACCACAGCAAGGGCTGGATTTAGCTGTAGTTAAAGGGAGGGGCTTGGTTCACCCCACAGCCCAGCCCCCCCATGAGAGCGAGCAGCTGAGCCAGGCCGGGGGGGCACTGGCTCCAGCCCAGGTGAGAATTAGCCTTTTCCTCTGGTCCAGCAGCACAGAGACGGGAGCTAAAAATACTCCCCTGCCATGTGCCCAGCCCGGCTCCCACGCCCTGCTGGGCACAGGCGGAAGCTGGGGGCTGCCTCCTCCCCCCGCTCCCTGGGCAGGCGCCTGGTGAAGCTGGAACTGAGGCTGGGGGAGGTGGCTGCAGCGTTGATTAAATGCCAAAGGTCAGAGCAAAGCAAGGCTGGGTGCCAGTCCCCAGCAGCCCTGGCACTCTGCCTCCATGCCAGGGGTCTCTGGCTGGGGGAAGGGACCAGCCCAATCTGCCAGTGACATGGCCATTGGCCCTTGCGTTAACCCAGGCTCTGCCAGCCCAGGGCCTTGGGGGCATGCAGCCTGCGCGGAATTGCATCTCCTCCTCCCCCAGGAGGACCTAAGACAAGGCACCAATTTCCTCAGGAAGTCTCCGGGTGAGTGGGCAGCTTAACTCCGCTGCAGGCTGATCCAGGGCTCCAGCCCCCAGTACTGAGCAGAGAGGGCAATACACCCCCAGCCTGCACCCCCAGGCCTGTCCCTCCCACTGGGGGCAGGACTCCTTCACCAATGGGGGGGCAAACAACAGCCCAGCTGGGCTACCCCCGCATGGCCCCCTGGGGAGATGCTTCCAGCAGATCCTGCCCCTTGTCCCGGCTGGCCACGGGGAGCACCCAGGGTGCTACATGGGACAGTTAAGGTTTTAGGCTCTTGAGGTCGCCAGCTGCCTGGGAAGCCCAGGGCAATTCCCCCTCAGTGAGAATGGCACAGGCTCTCTGCAGACTCAGGCAGGAGCTACTGCGCTGGTTACGCTCTGGCCCCGTTTTCATCACAGGCACAGAGACGGGAGGTCACTAAAGCAGGCCCCGATTCTGGCCACAAGTGGCAGTTCAGCAGAGATGCCAGGCTGCCATCCCTCCCTTGCCCCAAGGGAGCCCCGCCCCAGGGCTGCAGCGTGTCAGAACAGAGCAGGCTCTGCACTTTCCTTGGGTGTTTATTACAAAAACAAGAACAGGAACTTTACAGAGGCAAGACAGAGAGAGGCCTGAGCCCCCGCTCCCATGAAGGGCCCCCCCAACATGGAGCTAGTGCATCTCTAGGGCAGCCTGGCCAGCACACCACAGCACAGAGACAGGCCCACGCGGGAACAAGCCGCCACTCAGAGGCCGCCTGCAGCTTTCTGGGGCAGAGAGGGGGAAGGTGCTTGGTGCACAGGACAGACAGACGGATGGGGGTGGAAGGCAGGATACTGCCGCTGCCAGCGCTCTGGAGCCCTGGGGAAACTCACTGCAAGTTACCAGTGGGCCCAGGGCAGGGATCTGCTCTGCGGGGGGCCCGGTGCCAGAGCACAGAGCAGCGTGAAGGCACCTGCGAACGCCACCCAGCACCTGCCCACAGGGAGCTCGGCCCCAGGCAGGCAGCCCTGAGAGAGGCCCCTTAACCCTTCAAGTGCTGGGAGAAGTCACCACAGCCTCTGCACCTCCCACCCATGGTCCTAGCAAACAGACTGCCAACCCCACCCCCGCAGCAACTGGCCAGCCTCAGGGCCCCCAAGCAGCTGCACAGCCTGGCCCACCTGTGCTGGTGCCCAGGTCATCACCAGAACCCAGGGGCTGCATGGGCGATCCCGGCGGGCACCCCCACCTTTCCCACCAGCCAAGCAGGACTTGCAAGGGCGAATCCCCAGCCCGGGCAGGGACGGGCACAACAAACCAGTCGTGTCACGGCAACGTCCCCCCGAGCCGGCAAGGCACCAACACCAGCGCCCCAAGCCAGAGCCAGGAATAAGGTGCCAAGCAGCGTCTGGCACGTTCCCGCCAGGCTGGGCACCCACAGCACCCAGCTGGGGGTGCCAGGGAGAGTGCAGGGAGCTGGCATGTCTACAAATAAATTAAGGAAATAAACTAGCAACCCAACAGCTGAGTGGGGGGAGCGAGTCTCTGCCCGCCCCCCGCCCTCCACCCCTGCTCAGAGCCAGGGGCTATAGATGCCACACTGGATGTCCAACTCCTCCGGACCATGTAGTTCCAGGGCTCTGACCCCGGGGCCCAAACCAGACCCCAGCAGCCGATGTCCCGGATCCCCAGGATTCTCACAGTGCTGGCGGGCGGCCCCGGCCCCCTGTACCCACCAGGGCCACTGCTGGTGCAGGAGTGGCCCACCAAAGGGCACGTCACCTGGGCTGGCACACGGGGCCAGCAAGCTAGATGGGGAAGGAGCCTGCGCTGGGCTGGCCCCGCCAGGGCGCGCTTGCTGGGCACAGTCTCTGCTGCGGGGGAGGAAGGCCCGAGTCCAGTGAGTCCCCAGGGCGGCAGCCGTCGGCCAGCTCCTCCCGCGGGGGCGTCTGCCCGGTGCCCAGGCTGGTGAGGTACGTGTGCAGGAGCTGGGCGATCTCATCCACCTGGAGGGGAGCAAAGGCCAGTCAGGGGCACTCGAGGTGCCCTGGAGCCTGGGCTCAGCCCCAGGCCCCAGCTCCCTGGTGTCACTGCACAGCCCAGGCCCCCAGCGCTGGGCTCCTGCGGGGGGTACCCAGCCTGTGCTGCAGGGAGACCTCGCTCCGTCTGCGTGGGGAGGGGCGGGAGGGCGGGGCCTTACCCGGGAGCACTCGAAGAGCAGGTCCCTGTCCCCCACGGAGAGGTGGAAGGTGCTGCTGTCAGACACCCCGAAGGACGAGATGCGGCCGTAGCAGAAGCTGTCGAAGGGCTCGGCCTCCCCGGGCTTGTACAGAGACACGGCCTTGGCCCCGACGCCCAGCCACAGGCGCTGGAGGCAGCTGCCCTCCGGGCTCTGCAGAGAGATGGAGAGTCAGGGACAGCCCCACGGACCCCAGGCCCTACCGGCCCCATCACCCCCCAGCTCCATCCCCCGACCCCAGTAAGGCTGCTCAATGCCCCCGGAGAAGTTCAGGGTAATGGGGGGGGGGGGTGGAGAGAGAGAGGAAAGACTCTGCAGCTGCCCCCAGCCCGGGTGGGGCTCAGTCTCCGGTGGGGTGGCTGCCAGGGCTGCGCCCCCAGAAAATGCTCATCTCCTGGCTGTGACCCACCCCCCATGCAAAACCCCAGGAGAGTGGATGTAAAATGGCTGCCCCTCAAGCAGAGGGGCTCCTGTTTCTGTAGGTCCTACAGAAAGCGTGTGCTGTGCTCCGGTGCTGCTCTGCAGAGGGTACAGGGCCCCGGGGGGGGGACACACACAACCCTGCTCCAGGGAGCCCAGCCCAGGGAAGGGGCTCACCGTGTGGAAGTCGACGTCAAAGAGGGTGGAGCCGAATCCTGGCCACTCCCGCACCAGTGCCAGGTAGGCGGCCATGGCCTCGGCCCGGCCCATGCCCTGCAGCAGCTTCCACCTGTCCACAATGGCAGCCATCACGCTGGCGCCCTCCTCGCGCAGGCGGCCCCGCAGCTTCTGGTCCTGTTCCGCCCGCTGCTTGGCCAGCGAGTGGCCCCAAGGCAGGGCGCCGGCCAGCAGCCCCGCGCGCAGGCGGGCGCCGGGGCACCTGGGCGGGCCCTGGCAGGAGGCCCGGAGGCGGGAGTGCAGCGCGTGGACGGGGAAGAGCTCCTCCGGGCGGGGCACGGGGGCGTGCGTGGAGAAGTCACTGTTGAGGCTCTGCAGGCGCAGGGCGGCCAGGGACTGCAGCGTGTCCTCCGACGTGGGCACGTAGCCCCGGATCACCATCTCGTGCGCCTGCAGC